TAATTCCCAGAAGCTATTGCCAGCACAAAGGAGGGGAGAGTTAAAGTTGTGGTAGTCCTTCCTTACTTCCTGCTTTTCAGAAGTCTGAGTTTGAAATACTTGGTTTTCACATGTTTGAGTTTTGCTGAACTTGACTTTCTTGAAAGACACAATACATCACTGGGCAACCTTAACTCTATGTTAATTAAGTTTTTTGCCAGTGAATTTTCTAGTTTTTTCAACAGAAAGAAAGAAAAACAAACAGAAAGATGTGTGTCTGGTAAGAGTTGATGGTCATTTAGGCAATTGTATTTATCATGTAGGTTTGCTGTAGGGATGCTACTGTGGCCAGGTAAGGATAGTACCTAGTTCTTACATGGCACTTTTCATCAGTAGATCTCAACACCACTTTCCTAAGAGGATAATGTCATTATCCCCATTGTACAGATGGGGAAACTGACACACTGAGAAATTACGTGACTTGGCCAACATCACCCCTACCACTTTGTTATTGTGGAATAGGAATAATGGTCATGCTCTAAAATGTTTGGAGTGTGTAATTGCTAACAGGGACGGTGAAAGAAGTCTCACACATGTTATATGCCCCCCAAAGTTGAGTTTTATTACACAGTGGTTACAGTAACTTTAAGGACCTGTGAGAAAATTGATGTGTGTGTGGGGGGGGGGGAGGGAGATAGATAACACCCCAGCAACATATAGCCCCCTCCATCATTTCCAGCTCACCCTCCCCTTGTTGTCCCATCGAGCCATCAGAACTTCAGAAGCCAGGTATGCACAAAAAATGCTGGTAGAATCTGTGAACTTTAATAAAAACATTTTCCGGGGATGCTGTATCTTGGGAACCTCTTGCTCAAATAACCCCAATTTGATTCACTGTCCCCATCTCACATCCCCATGAAGCACAGGAAAAGTCAAGCCAACACAAGTACATATGTGGATTTTACAGCACTCAATCATCTCAATCTTAACTGTAGAGCACCGATACTCCACACCTCCCCAAACCTAAACCCTCTCTCTTGCTGTGCCACCCACCTCCATGTCACCACTCCCAGTCTGACCTCCTGCCACCCTCAATGCAGCTCCACTCCCCTATCCCCCCCACTCCTCCGCTCCCAAACCCCACTACCATCCCAGCAAGCATTTGCATGCAGAATTTATTTTCTGGTTCAATACATTTCCCCAAAACACACCTGACAGACATACTTTAGCAACATGCCTCCAATCTTTTTCAGATTTCTGCTCTAGGTCAGACTTGAACTCACACTGGCTGGGTGTAGCTCTAGCTCAATGGCTACTGCATATCCCCTTTAGCTACCCAGCTGTAGTGAAAACTTGCTGGCCAGTAAGCCTGAACGTTAGGCATATGCCTAACTAGAGAGCTGAACTCTCTTGCTATTGTTTTCAATTTGCTCCCCTCAAGGGGCAGTGGATTCCCTGCAATAGCTGGAGTACATATCCTGCAATGGAGACCATTTTGGGCACGATCAGTTCCTTGGCTCTGAACAAAAATATGTTGGCAGACTCCATCAACCTTTAGAAAAGCTGTTTTTTTGGAGGGAGAAGAGATTTTATCTCAGTATCCCTCATGATCAAATTACCCCAAATTTGGATCACTTACTCTACTCTGCATCTCCACAGAGCAAACCAAATTTCGGGGCAATCCAAGTAACGATGCGGATTTTAGAGCATTTAGAAGAGTCAGGCTTTAAACAGAAAGCTGTTCTAACTTTAATTATAGCAGAGCTAGCATTGCACTATAATACTGCGCTCTTCATGTAAGGAAATAGCTGATAACAGGTGAGTGACTACGGAAAAGATTGGGAGGAAAAGATAGAGGTACACTGACATTGCAAAATGAGATCAATCATTAGCATAAGATTGCTATACTAGATCAAATATTCAATTGTCTGGTCAACTGCCCATGCATAAATAATAAAGAACTAAGCTACAGTTGTAGACAAAGAAGAAATGCCCACCCAAGTATCCATTCTCTTCATTGGGGGGGGGGGGGGGGCGGGGAGAAGGGGGTTTACTGACTTGAAGTACAGTGTCTTTATCACCACCCTGAGTCACATGTAGAAGTGAGTGATGACACCGCTTGGTTCTTAACAATCATAAAATTATAACAATGCACAATTATCAGTCTGTTGGCTCTTATATTACTTCCACTGGCAAAGCTGAGTACAGAATCTTAGGCCAAGTCTACACTAAAAAGTCAGGTCGACCCAGCTACGTAACTCCGGGTGTGAAAAATACACACCCGAGTGATGTAATTAAGCCAACCTAACTCCCTGTAGAGACAGTGCTAGGTCAATGGAAAAATTCTTCCATCGATCTAGCTACTGCCTCCTGGGGAGCTGGATTAACTACAGCTACCCTCCTGTCGGTGTAGCACGTCTACTCTGAAGTGCTACAGCACTGCCACTGCAGCATTTCTAGTGCAGACATAGCCTTACTGTGCAGAGGCCTATAATAAGCAGTACTGGTCCCTAATTTTTATAATTGCTAAATTAAACAATTTTTTTTTCAAATTCGAAAGCTAAACCTACACTGCCAAACCAAAATATAACCGAAATGAACATTGGAAAAGAAACATTACATGCTTTTTTCACATGGGTGTCAAGGTCATCTTTTTGGTATACTAGTTTTCTCAAGAAATGTGTTAGTAAGATTTTGCACTTCAACATGTTACCCATTAGTTATGCTCACTATATGTTTAACTACAATACTGTATAGCTGAAGGGTAATACACTACGTTACTGGGTTACCAAATACCACCAGTTGGCAATATCTGCTCAAAATTTGAGTAAAAATATAGTAGGCAGAATAACTGTTTGTTTAGCACAAATGATGTGCTTATTGCTGTAGAAAATTTAGTGTTTTCCCAAATCAGTTTACAATCCAACATAAAGATATAGAGAAAAGGACAAACTGGGAAGTTCAGAGAAGGGATTAAGAGCCAAGTTTTTTAGTTAGTTTTCAAATATATAAACTAATTCCTTGTGGGCATCAAAAGAAAGCCAGGACACTAAATGTTGAACTGAACAGATGAGTAAATCCCATTGAGCATAAAGTTAAGCAACTGCTCAAGTGACTGCAGAATTGGAACCATAGAGAATAAGCCATTTTGTGAGGGAAATCATATTAAAATCTCAACTGGATACATTTTTTAATACAATTTAGTCTTCACGTAAGTTATCAAACAAATTCTGCAGAGTTACCAGAATTTCAAGTACTCTTTTTTATTCTGTATCCAGAAGTAAAATATTGACAGAGTCAGGCATCATACATTTACTATTTCTTGGGCACCCAGATGTGTTATTTAAGACATATCCATTTTGAATACATCAGAATGAGATTACTTAAAATACCAAGAGATACTGATGGTTATCTAAATTAACACATTTACGTAAATCATTTGGGTCAGCAAATAAAATTTGTATACTTATATGAATGGCATTTTGTCCAATATCAGCAAAGTTAAGCCGTACAAGGAAGCAATATAATGAGATGAATGAAGTGGCAAGCACTGCTAGTATCTCCAGTGATATTTAGACAGGTAAAAGCTATTTCTGTCCTACATGTTAATAAGAGTAGAAAGCACATCATATGTGCAATCTAACTCCAATTAATTTAATTTAGTAGATTTCTGTTTAAAAACACCACCACTGAAATGCCTGAAATGTGGAAAATGGATAGTCATCAAACTACCAATTGTGACAAAATAAGGAACGTGTCAATTTAAATGAAAAGTGCTGGTTAAAATTCACACTCAAAATTCAATACTTAGCTATGGAGTTATCTGTATTGTTTCAAAATGTAAAGACCTCATGAATAGAATAGAAAAAACATACCATAAAGAGAAAAATACAAAGTCAGTTATTTAGTAAAGGATAAGTAGGTATGTAATTGTGTTCATAATGATACTCTAGTCTAGTGCAACTGACAAGCAGATGCAAGGAATGAACTTTACACAGCATGACTTTGTCACATGAGAGCAGTCTGCCATTTTTACTGTTTCTGTTCACCAACCACTCACAGCACACTAACCTTCAAAATGCATTACACATTCTGGAATAAGTCTTGCAAACCTTACATTTAAGATAGGATTAGATTTGGCAGGTTACTTGCAATGAAAACACACTACAATTAACACCTTGTGTGGCCCTAAAATGATTTGCAAGAACATCCTATGCACCAAAACTTTAAATAAAAGTTCTCTCCAACTACACATTCATTTTAAATTTAGGTGGGGGAAAAAACTTTAGACATCAGGGTCTGGCCTATATTGATGTCCAATTTGGAAGGCACAATCGCTGGTATATTATTGCCTAGCTAGAGAGTTTTCAGATCAGGCAGAGTTGCAGTCGAAAGAAGAGTGACGGAGATGGCACAAGGGCCTTCCATGCCTCATGAAAGGAGACCGGTACCTACTTCTCCCCACCCGCCACATAATTCATTTCCCCAGACGCTGCTCCGTACCCACACACAGAGAAGTTCCTGCACGATCGCGGGCAGCCCCTTCGTTTGGGGCTGCCCAGCCCGTGCTATCGGCCGCCCGTTCACGTGGTCGCTTCCTCCCCCAGCGCTGGCAGGGAACAAGGCGCCTCGGCTGTGAACCGCCCGGCCCCCGCGGGGCGCAGCGCGCCCGGAGTAACGCCTGGGCGCGAGGGCCCGGCCGCGCTCCCCAGCTCCCGGGCGGCCCGCGCGCTGTGCGTGCGGCAGGGAGGGGGCGGTGATCCCCCGGCCTCTCCCGGAGTAACGCGGCGCTGGCCGCTCCTGGGCCGCCCGGCCTCCGTCAGACCCAGGGGGCCCGAACAGCCTCGGGAGCGAGGAGAGGCCGCAGGCCGCCCGCTACCTGGGTCTCCGCGGAAGCCTTGGCCAGGCCTCTCCCTCGCCCCGGGGCCGGAAGCCGCGGGACAGGCAGCCGCGATAGCGGCTTCGTGATCCCCAGAACCGATTCCCGGGTCCGGCCTCCCCCCGCGCTCCCCGGCTCCCACCTCCTGGTTGAAGGCGTTCACGGCCTCCATGTTGGCGGCGGCTGGTGCGGGTGCCCGCGGCGGCGTGAGGCGCGCGGGGGGAGGCTCGGTCCCGCTCAGGGGCTCCGCGCTAACATGTCCGTTCGGCGGCGAAGCTCTGCGCGCAGGCGGCGTCTCGCTGGCAGGGCCCCGCACAGATCGTCTCTCCCAGCGGGATGGCGGAGGGAGCCCACGCCGCGCACAGCACCCTGGGATCGCGTAGGCCTCCCGGCCCCGCGCCACCCACAGGAGAGCGCGCGCGCGCGGCGCGGTTGCGGGGACGCCACGTGACCATCCCCCTCCACTGTTACTATCCCGAGCCCCGCCATGTCAGCAGCGGCCCCGCCCCCGGGGAGAGGGGGCAATGGGCGGGGCGGGGCGAGATAAATCCCTCGCTTCCCTCCCCTCCCGCACAGAAGGGGTGTTTGCCCGGCGGAGAAAGGGGTCTGGTTCACTTAGCCAAAGGGGGGGGGGATGAGTGAGCACGCACTCTGCTTCTTCCCCCCCGCAGAGGGAGGAGGGAGCCCCAGTGCAAGGAGGCCAGCAATGGCCCAGCGCTCCCGAAGCGCAGGGAGCTCTACCTTTGCCTGTGCACGTAGCTGGCCCTGGTGTCCAGAGACTAGCAAGTGTCCCGAGGAAGGTGGCTCCCCAGATGAATATGGGCTAATGGGCTTAGCATTTGGGGAGCCCCTGGGGGCTGCTGGTCTGGTCTGGAGGGTGTGCATAGCAATAGCTCCAAGTACGGTGAGGGCTGTGTGTAAGGTGAGCAAAGTGCCTAGGGTCACAGAGAGAGATGTGTACGTTTGGGCTTCCCAAACTAGCCTGGAGGCCCATTTTGTGTCCTAAGTCATACTGAGTACGTGGTCAGCAAAGGCTGTGTTTCAATAGCGATGTAAGTCTTTGAGGGACCATTGTGACTTTCTGTTGGATGCCTTTGTAGGGTTACCAAGGAAAGTACTGATGCCAGCGTATTGGAGAAGTCAGCGTTTATTCAGAGAGACAGTGGGATGTTCTTCCCGGCCCCACAGTATTCTTTTTAATGGGGGTCCTTTTTTTTTTCCCTTGTGATGCTCTGGTGTTGCTAAAGATCATGATTTTTATTGTGAGATCCATGATATTTGGTAAAAAGAAGAACAGGAGGACTTGTGGCACCTTAGAGACTAACAAATTTATTAGAGCATAAGCTTTCGTGGACTATAGCCCACTTCTTCGGATGCATATAGAATGGAACATATATTGAGAGATATATATACACACATACAGAGAGCATATATATATATATATATATATATAT